TCTCATAGCCAGGATGGAAGGTTGGCCTCCTCCTTGACATACTCAGATCCCAGATGTTTGGTATCACCGACACCAGACAGTGGCTGGACACTCCACCCACTCCTCGCAGCTGCGCCAGGGCCTCTGGAGGGGGGAGGGGGAAGCAGAGAATGCGCCTGAGCAAGCCAGGGGAGCCTGACCACAGGAAGAAGGTTCACAGAAGAGCTGGGCTGCTGGACAAAAAAAACAAATCTTCAGGTTCTTGTCCATTTCCAAAGCTGGGTCAGCCCAGAAGCAGCCCCAGCTCCTCCAAGAGCCTGGGCACTAGTAGCCCCAAGACTTGAGGCCATCCCAGAGGTGTACAACGGTCCATGGTCAGGAAACTCAGGACCTTTCCATGTCCCCTTCTGCCTGCCCTAGTGTCCACTCCATCCCAACCCCACCCCCCTCATTCTGTCACCCCAATCTTTTCAGACCCCAGCAAGTTTCCCCAAAGTGCAGACTAGTCCTCCACTCTGTCTGATAACAATGAAGACCAATGCCCTGGCCTTGACCTTGCTTTCCTCCTCCCAAGGGACCTTGGTAGTCTCTGCCCTCCTTCCCCCATCACATTCTAACACAATTTCTTGACGTGGCTGCCGGCCACTTGGGCCGTGCAGAAGCCTGATCCCAATTGCTAGGGTTCACCTGTGCTTGCTCTCTGCTTCTTACTTCACAAGACTGAAAGGACTTATTCCTCCCCTTCCTGTGGGGCCCACCACCCCATCCCATATGGCCAGACCAGGAATCCCTTCTTATGCCTGGCCCTGCAGGCTCACTGGCCCACCAAGGGCTCCAAGGGCTCTGTCCATCCAGCCAGGGATCGTGGCCATAGCTATTCTGCCACCTGGTGGCCAATGGCAGCATTGCTCTTACCCTCCCATTCCCAGACTGCCATCCTGAGTTCTTTCTGAAAATTTCTGGCGCTGCATTCTGACTCGCATACCATGCCAACTGGGAAAATGGAGGCCTAAGAGAGGGAAGGAGGTTTACCAGCAAAGGGTTCTTCCAGAACCTGCACCCAGGGGCATGGCTCCAGTTCACCGATATGGAAGGGAGTAGAGAAGTGGCAGGAGTTTTAAGCACCACATGAAATTGGAAGAGGGCAAAAAGCAGACTTGCAACTATAGTAAAATCTATGGGGAGAGGTGAAAAATTCCTAAAAGTTGTTTCTACCCACTTCTATCACCATAAACCAACTTCTGAGAGTAAACATTTATACTAACCAGGCACTAACCAGCATTATCTACTGCTAACAACTACCCACCAACCATTAACACCACTAACCTCTCACTACTGATGTAACAGCTACCAACCACTAAGTAACCACCAGTATTAACTAACCTAAGCCCTAGCACCATGCTCACATCTCTAACGCATCTGGCACCCCTTAAAACTCAGACACAAAGATATGTTTAATAACAATGATGATGCGATAAACTGTGTGTAGGGATATGGTAGACCATCATTTATTAAAAGCAATTTATCTAGGTATTCAAAAGATTTCTGATGCCAGTCTCATTCCTGTAATCCTACTCAGGAAGCTGAGGTCTGAGGACCATGGTTCAAAGCCAGCCTAGGCAGGAAAATCTGAAATTCTTACATCTAATTAACCACCAAAAAGCTGGAAGTGGAGCTGTGGCTCAAGTGGTAGAATGCTGGCCCTGAGCAGAAAAAATTCAGGGACAGCACCCAAGCCCTGAGTTCAAGCCATAGAACCAGAACACCCCCCCCCCCTACACACACACACACTCACACACATTATCTCCTTATGGCTATTGTTTGTGTTTTCCTGATGCTAGCGACATCCTTACTGACAACTGGGTGTTGAGCCTGTTATTTTTAAGCATACAAACTCACAAATATTATGATCTCAAGATATTTCAAAAATGCTGAGAAGAAACTTTCAGGAAACACAAAATAGTCAGTGGCTAAAGTCCTTGGGTAATAAAATGAAAGTTATTTTTATTTTGCTTTTTAAATAGAAGGCTGTGTTGCCTGAATGCCTGCAATGAGTGTAAATGATTTTTAGGATCTGTGATTAAAGGCAGGACTGTGTGCTGGGTTTTCAGACTGGGCCACGCTTTGACTTCACCTTTGTCTGACCAGGCAGGTGCTGGGCAGTAGAGCAATGCATGGGGGCAGCAGTGCCCCCTTAATTCCCCTTCATACAACCCCTTGGGACACCACATCATAGCTTTTTCTGCTCAGAAGAAATGGAGCCAGGCCCAGGATGACAAGCCCATCCCTTGTGTGGCCAAGGATCACAGGGGGTTCATGATGACAGGACAGGTGGCAGAAGGTAATCACCCAGAGGGCAGAGGCTAGAAAGGGGGATCTCTTCTCTCAGGGCAGCTGGGAACGTGGAGGATGACCAGGAGTCTGGGGTGGGGGCAGAGCTGACCTGCTCCTTGGCCATGAAGCAGGGAGACGTCATCCTGACCTGCAGAGCTTTGATTTCTGCCTGTTCTCTGTGCTGAAATCTGTCCCTAAGGATAGCACCTAGTCTCCTCCTGCCTCTTGCTGGCAGGGAGGGTGGCAGAAGAGAGACCTGTGTGCCCACCTCTGGAAAGGTACACGGCAGGGGCGGGGAGGGGGGGGAGAGGGAGACACAGAGAAACATCTAGAGTTGAGGAATTTCCACCCCACAGAAGCACAGGAAATGAAACTCATCAATTTCCAGTACACACCCAAAAGGCTAACCAGAAAGAAAAAAGCCATCCACACCTGATAAACATCAGGGAAATGCACTGTGCCTTTCCTTTACCTCATTTGACTCTCCCACATTAAAGCAGAGTAAAAGCCAAGTCTTGGTGGGGTGGCTGGGGTTCTACCAATGTGGAGCTACCAATGTAGGTGTACAATCTGGCACCACTGAGTCACATGAAGAAGAGGCCCCCAGCTCTGCTTCTGGGTATGAGTCCTACAGAAAGGTTCCACAGGGGACAGCAGGTAGTGGGAGCGGAGGTGAAAGGGAGGAATGGCACCTTCATACAGCACCCAGATGTCTCCACAGCAACACAGCAGATCCATTAAAATCACAGTGCTGAGTCAGGGACAGGCGTATGGCTGATGGGCGTTATGTGAATTTAGAGCGCGTGCGCGTGCGCAAGCACACACACACACACACACACACACACACACACACACACACACACACATCCCACTGCAGATTTTGCCAGGCACATAGAAACCCAAAGTGAATACATGGGTTTGCCTGCCTGTGGGAGGAGGGCAATGGGAATGAGGATGGGGACAAAGAATACGTTGTCTAAATAAATAAAACATGAGAACCCTTGCAGAGACAGGTGACAATCACGTGGCATGAACAGAGCTAAAAATGCTGCTCTGCACTGGAAGTCCAAGCTAAGCACGCAGACACACTCTGCTGCACTGCACAAGCCTGGACTCACTCAAGCACATACCATCCTCGTGCAAGTTCCTTGGCTCTCTGGTCTTGGCGTAGCCCCAGACTCTAATGCAAGAACCAATGGGAACAGAAACAAGAACCAAGGAAGTCAGAGGAACCTAGAAAAAAGCTGGTGAAGGGGCAGGGAGGAAGGGCTGCTCCTGCTCAGAACTGGGCAACAGTTTGCAGGGGCTTTGCCCAAGGGCTCCCGGAATCCCCTGGATCCTCCAGAGGGTAGAGGGACCCATTACAGTCCCAATTCTAGTGTGGCTTGTCCCAGTGCATGATGGGTCCAGGGTGGCTTGTCCCGGTGCATGATGGGTCCAGGGTGGCTTGTCCCAGTGCATGATGGGTCCAGGGTGGTTTGTCCTGGTGTATGATGGGTCCAGTGTGGCTTGTCCTGCTGCATGATGAGTCCAGGGTGGCTTGTCCTGCTGCATGATGGGTCCAGTGTGGCTTGTCCCGGTGCATGATGGGTCCAGTGTGGTTTGTCCTGGTGTATGATGGTTCCAGTGTGGCTTGTCCCGGTGCATGATGGGTCCAGTGTGGTTTGTCCTGGTGCATGATGGGTCCAGTGTGGCTTGTCCTGGTGCATGATGGGTCCAGTGTGGTTTGTCCTGGTGCATGATATGTCCAGTGTGGTTTGTCCTGGTGTATGATGGTTCCAGTGTGGCTTGTCCTGCTGCATGATGGGTCCAGGGTGGTTTGTCCTGGTGCATGATGGGTCCAATGTGGTTTGTCCTGGTGTATGATGGGTCCAGGGTAGTTTGTCCTGGTGTATGATGGGTCTAGCGTGGCCTGTCCCGGTGCATGATGGGTCCAGTGTGGTTTGTCCTGGTGTATGATGGTTCCAGTGTGGCTTGTCCTGCTGCATGATGGGTGATGGGTCCAGGGTGGTTTGTCCTGGTGTATGATGGGTCTAGCGTGGCCTGTCCTGGTGCATGATGGGTCCAGTGTGGTTTGTCCTGGTGCATGATGGGTCCAGTGTGGTTTGTCCTGGTGTATGATGGGTCCAGGGTGGCTTGTCCTGGTGCATGATGGGTCCAGGGTGGCTTGTCCTGGTGCATGATGGGTCCAGGGTGGTTTGTCCTGGTGTATGATGGGTCTAGCGTGGCCTGTCCTGGTGCATGATGGGTCCAGTGTGGTTTGTCCTGGTGTATGATGGTTCCAGGGTGGCCTGTCCTGGTGCATGATGGGTCCAGGGTGGCTTGTCCTGGTGTATGATGGGTCTAGCATGGCCTGTCCTGGTGCATGATGGGTCCAGTGTGGCTTGTCCTGGTGCATGATGGGTCCAGGGTGGCTTGTCCTGGTGCATGATGGGTCCAGTGTGGCTTGTCCTGGTGCATGATGGGTCCAGGGTGGCTTGTCCCAGTGTATGATGGGTCCAGGGTGGCTTGTCCCAGTGCATGATGGGTCCAGGGTGGCTTGTCCTGGTGTATGATGGGTCCAGTGTGGCCTGTCCTGGTGCATGATGGGTCCAGGGTGGTTTGTCCTGGTGCATGATGGGTCCAGGGTGGCTTGTCCCAGTGCATGATGGGTCCAGGGTGGCTTGTCCTGGTGTATGATGGGTCTAGTGTGCCTGTCCTGGTGCATGATGCATCAGTCTAGCACACAGATGTCAACACTTTCATCCCCGAGCCAGAAGGCATCGCCCACTTGGCACAGGTCCTCCGAGCCGGCAGAAGTTCAGGGTCATGACCATGCCACTTCCGCAAGATCTCATTTCTCACCTCCAGGGACAAGGGAGATGGTGTTAGGAAGATCCCCTTTCCCAGGGAAAAGGGGAGGAGAGGCAGTATGGGAGAGGTGGGCAAGGATAGCGCACTGCCAAGTAGTACCAAGCACTGCCTTTAGAAGAGACTACCTCCTATTCCCGCTAAGGACATCTGGTCACCTCCTCCTTCCTCTGAGGATATCTAGCCATTGCCTTTTGCTCTTTGTTTAGCTGTCTGAGCCCAGTTAGACATTTGTGAGTGCTTTCCAGAGTTCCCAGCCAAGGAACTACTCTACTCTCCCTAAAGAACCCTACCCACCCCTGCTTCAAGGTTCAGTGCTGTGAGCTCAAGTACGGCCACCAGACATCTGAGGAGAGACTGCGATGGGAGAGAGAGGACTCAGCCCTCTGCCTGAGGTGCTAGCCCTGTCTGACAGAGCTGAGCTGGGCTGTGAGGACAGGCCAAGGGAAGAGCGCTTCTGTCTAGCATAGGGTTGACTTCCCACTGCTGTGCCACAGAGACAACACTATTAGGAGGCAAGGAGCTCCCCACGTCTAGGCAATGTCACCCCTGTTCTCTGGCACTGCTTCCTGAACAGATCTCTTTGAGGGGAGAGAGGAAGGGTAAATGTCACAATGTCTCAGGCCAGCCCTATCCTGCAGCTACTACCCAGAAGAGGGTCTTACCTGTTTGAGACAAGCTGACCACAATTTAACAAATTGTCTAAAGGGAAGAGACTGCCTGGGATGGGAGCTGCAGGGCATAGACACGGGAAGGGAGGCACTTGGGCAAGGACTGATATGGGAAGAGAAGCATGAATGATTGGAGATGATGGTCACACACCTCTTGGTTGAGGAAGCAGTACAGGACAGCAACAATGAAACCCTGTGGAGCCATACAGAAAGGATCCCATTAGAACACTTGGGCCTGGTCTCAACATGTCCTAGTCTGTCTATTGCCTTCTCTCCAACAGTCTCAGACTGTGACCGGGCCAAGTGTAAAAGGAGAACTTAATCATTCATCCATTACTATGTACAGGCATACATAGTTGTGCATCCCATCAAGCCAGCCCCCCATGACTCTGATCATCCCATTCATCCCCCAGTAATGAGCACGTGGATGGGTGGATGGATGGGTAGGTGGATGAGTAGACAGATATGTGGGTGAATAAATGGATATGTGAGTGGGTGGTGGGTATATAGGTGGATGGATGGGTAGGTGGGTGGTTAGATGGGTATGTAAGTAGATGAGCGGATAGGTGGATAAATAGATGGATGAACTGACAAGTAGATGAGGGTGGGTAGGTAGATGGGTGAATGGGTAGATGGATGAAAAGATAGGATAGATAGACAGGCAGACAGACAGACAGACAGACAGACAAATTTTTAGATGGTTTGTGGGTAGAGGACTATGTGGATAGTTGAATGAACAAGGAAGTAGAGGGAGGGATAGAAGATGAACAGGTAAATAAATTGTTAAGCAGATGGATGGGCAATAGTGGCCCTCACCCCATCATGAAGTTAACCAACTGCCTAAGTCCTGGGTGTAGGGAAGTGGAGGAGGGGTAGAGAGAGGGGGCATCACCTGGAAGGAGCCCAGTCCAAGCTCGAGGGGGAGGCGGACACCTAGGCCAACACTATCCGGCAGGAAGTTGAAGATGATGTAGTGAATCCCAAACAGTGGAATGAGGAGAAGTGTGGACCTGGAGAGTCTCCTGTGGGCAGACAAATGCTAGACTCTGAGGACACCCTGGACACTCTGTCCACTCACACCTCCCTGAATCCTTCATCCTCCCCCCGCCTCCCAGCCCATGGGGCTCTCCTCCAGGATCCTGCTGCACCCTGTGTCAGTTCTCTTGCCCCAGCAAAAAGTCTTGGCCTCTTTTAAAGTCTAGTTCAAAGGTTACTTCCTCTAGGAAGTTTTCTCCAACTCCCTTCTTGGCCCCAGAGAGCACCTACTTCCCTACACTCCAGAGGAGGTGCCACAGTACCTAAGAGTCAGCCTAGGCAGAAGGGAAACTGGTCTGGAGACCTGATTTTCTCCTACTGCAAGACAAGATCTTTTCTCATTCTGGGAAGGTTGGACTGGGGTATGAATGCCTGCCATAGGAGAGGTGACCACATGGAATCCCCAACATATGCACACATGCATACATGTACATATATGCACATTGCACCTGCCTACATACTTATATTCACACATATACATATACACATGCACACACACAGTATCAGTACTGGGATGGTGTGGGGAGCCCCTTGCACACACATGCACATGCACGCACACACATGCACACACATACACACATGTGCACACATGTTCAGTACCAGCACTGAGACTTGGTGTGGAGAGCCCCCTGGGCTGGCTCCAGCTTTCTCAGCAGGATGCGAATAATATTGAGAAACAGCCCGAAGTTCACCTGGAAATGGTGCACAGAAAGGTGGTGTCGAGGGTGAGGGGAGGTCCTGGCAGGCCTAGGGTGGATCCCAAATCCTTGAGATGCCAGGTGGTTCTTGCAGGCAAACAGGAAGATAGATAGAGGCTCCAGAAGGAGAGTACGGAGGGCAGGGGAGGGTTCAGGGCTCCCCCTCCTCTCCAGCACTGGAAGCAAGGTGCAATGGCCTTGGCATCTGTCTCAGGTCCCTAGTGGAAGCCCCCTGGGTGCTCACTGGGTGCCTGCCCCAGCTTCTCTTCCCCGGTCCAACCCTTCGTGCTTGGCACCTCTGAGGATGAAGAGACCACTTGGGAAGCTGCAGCTGGGAGAGAACTAGGGCAGAGCAGAGCCAGGGCCTGTTTCCTGGCCCTTGGAACTTTGACACCCACTGTATGAGACCCCTTGAAGAGCGGGATGGGGGAAGAGGGCTGGAATAAAGTGAGGACACCGTCCAGAACTAACCCCCACGGAGAGCACGATGGGCCCTTTGATGATCCACCAGTAGGGGGAGCTGTCATCCAAGTCCCAGCACCTGAGGGGAGACAGCCCAGTTGTGCTACACAGAACCCTTCCTAGACACTACGCAGCCACCACACAGCATCACACAGCCACCCTACACCCCCCTACCTTCCCTCTGTACTAGAGCCCTGGGCCCTTCTCTGCCCCCCACATACTAGGGGCCTGGGCCTTTCTCTGCTCTGTTATCCACACCCTCCACCTCACCTCCACACCCTGTGTCCTGGTCCTATGTCTCAGCCACACTGGCCCCCTTGTCTGAGAGGAATTGCCTGCCTTAAAATCTGTCCTTGCTGCCCCGTTCACCTCCCCAACTCCAGAGCCCCACTGACAGGTCCCTGTGCCCCACGGCCCTGGCAGTCCAGGTCCCTCTTCTGCCCCCTATGTGCAGCCTGCAGGCCCCTCTTGCCTTGCCCTCCCCACCAGGCCAGGGCCTCCACTCTGCTCCTCTCCCCAGACTCCAGGCCTGGTGGGGAGCAGAGGGTACTGACACTCACGCGGCATCCTCAAAGGCCATCTTGCAGATCACCCAGGTGCCCGTGCAGAGCATGGGGAACCCTGCGCAGGGCAGAGGAGGCTCCAGTTAGGGCTGTGTCCCTGAGATTGGCCCCACCGCCCACCACCACTGCCAGCCCTTCGGACTGCAAAGGCCAGGCCTGGCTGGGGCCCCAGGGACCTCACCTCGGGATCCCCACCAGTCATGTGAAGGGGCTCTGTCTAGACCCGTTGGAACTCCCCACCCCCCCCCCATCCTCCACGGAGCCCCATCAGGGATACTCACCCCAGCCTGCCAGGACCAGCCACCAGAAGGCTGATCTAGAGCCCGGGGAAGTGGAGGCCAAGAGGAAACTCAAATAGACAGCTTCTGCCAACAGCCAGCTGAAGTTGGTCATGGTAGCAAAGTGGGAGGCAGCCACTGAAACCTTACACAGGACCTGAGGGCCAGGGCCAGAGGGCTTCAGAGTGGAGACTCCCACCACAGCCCCCATCCACAATCCACAGTGCCCCACTGCTCTGAGACTGCAAGTCCTTAACCGTACACCAGCAAGCCTAGACTAACTGAATCCTTGGGCAGCCCCAGGATGGGGTATCATGATCTGGTGGTCAGGGCACAGACTGGAGGTCCAGAGGAGATGGACTAGTATGATATGGTGTTGGGACAGACTGGGACCCAGGGCTCAAAGCTGCATGGCTAGCCACACAAGCCTCCCCATGCCTCAGCTTTCCACCCATGCAAGGAGGAACTCTTGTATCATCTTGCGGCCTTGTTGCAGTGTTAAACAAAACTGCACAAGAATTGGCCACTGCCTGGGATGGGGACACACTTGTCACCTGTCGCCCATCTATGTGGTTGGAATAGGTAAAAGAATGGATCTGACATCAGTCCAGAGACCCTCTCTACAAAAAGTAAAGCAAATAGGGCTGTGACATGGCTGATGGGTTAGAGTGCCTGCCTAACAAACCTTGAGGTCCTGAGTTCAAATCCCAGCACTACCAGAAATGAACTCAAAGGAAACACCAGTAAGTGTATTCACTGTCTGAGCTTGCTCACCAGCGGGGTTGGGCAGGTGGAGGAGTTGGTGGGGGGTGAGCAGAGGAGCCACCCCTGAGCCCAGATGCCCGGTTTGAGCCAGCTCCACCTTGTAGCTGTGTGGCCATGTAGCAGTATGTCTGTGTAGCCACGTGACCGTGTAACCATGTGAGCATGTAGGAGGGTGACCTGGCCAGCTGCCCCCCACAGGGACAGTGAGGTGTTCAAGGCATTGGAAGATCCAGGAGATCATTTCTGCAAGGGCTCATAGTAAGTGCTCAGTGTATTCAATTATTCATTTCTTCATTAATTAACTCAGGCGGTGTGCTGGTCCATGCATTCACTTATCTGTTCATCACCAGCACACTGTCAGAGGACCTTCACTCTTTGCTTCCTGCCTGCTTTTTCAGCTCCTTTGCTCCCCAACAGCACCCTTTCTGTGTGACATCCAGTTTTGTAGCCCAGATTTGAGTCTGTTCCCCACTGAGCCCACACGAGCCCTGCCGCTAACCCAGCAGCAGAGCCACCTCCTCCCTGCTTTCAGCTTCCTTCCCCTGAGGTCTTCAGATCTGGGTGCATTCTGTCTGCTGGGTGCTTCTAGAAGGAGGGAGCTAGCATGGCCTGGCCACAGGCAGAGAGGTTCTGGGGGAAGGGCAGGAAAAGGCTAGATGTGGTGCACTGGGAGCTGGTGTACATGTGGAATATGGAGTGGCATATGAAATGGGAAGAGATGGGATGTTTCTGGATTCACCTGCAGGTCCAGGGAAGGCCCAGGGCTTGGGCTGGGCTAGAGGAGGTGTGGGTGGTTGCACAAGCTCACAGGTGTACTGTCACTGCCCCTGAGGAAGGGGGTCAGCCCACAGGAACAGAGCAGACCCACCCTCCAGACCCCTCCTCTAACCCTACACGCCCACCCTCCAGCCCAGTTCTTTACAGTGGAGAAGCCACAGTGGTCCGAGGTGTCACTGTCACCGAAGAGGGCGGCATCCTTCAGGAACACAGCACACGCCTTGAGGATGAAGGTGGCAAACAGCTGGGTGTGGATGTAGTTCCGGGGACAGTGGAGCCTCCTGGAAGGGGAAGGGGGTGGAAGGGGGATGGGTAGGGACCAGAAGAAGGGATGAAGGGATGAGGGTAATGGGTGGGAACAAGAGGACAGGATGGGAAGATGAGGGTAGACAGAAGGGAATGACAGGAAGAGATAGGGAATGAGGGTGGACAAAATGGAACCAGTGGAAGGAGTGGGGGGATAAGGATAGACAGGTGGAGACCAGAGGCCACAGAGGGCTTTCTGGTACCTAAGACAGGGCCAGGCTGCCCTGGACTATGCTGGGCTGGTCTGAGGAGATTTGGATAAACTCAAAATGGAGGAAACCAAACTAAATCGTATGAGAGGAGGTGAATGACATTGAGCAGAATCAAGCTACATGTGAACCTTAGCTCCAAGGGTCAGCTGACCAAGTACTGCTTTGGACTGGGCATGCCTCTAGGAGCAAGGTAACTACCGCTCTGCATTCAGTTGGAGAGCTCCTGGTCTGATAGAGCAAAGGTTGACATGGCAGGGCACTGCCTGGGAGCCCTGGATGGATATCAGAGAAGCCCTCTTCCCCTTATAGGAGGCAGAGCACTGGCCTCATAGGGGGGCTCAGACTCAGAAGTCTAAGGAGCCATTAAAACACACCGTGGTCAGGGGAGGAAACAGTCAAGAGAACTCTGGGCAGGAGGCCAAAGGGAATCTCAGAGGCAGAGGGAGCTGGGATTTTGACAGATATAAATCCTCCCAGAGGAAAAGAGGCAATCGAAGCCAAAAGAACGCTCTATGTGAGCGAAACTATGGCCCTAAGAATGAGTTCTGGTATAGAGGAGGGGGCCCATGCCTCGAAGAGTTGAGAGCCTCTAAAGTGCCCAGGCAAAGAACCAGACTTGGTCCTTGGGCAGCGGGGAGCCAAAGAATGTTTCTGAGGAGATGAAGATGACAAACCTGAGAGCAAGCAGGATGGCAATGGCCAGACAGAGGGCGACGATGGAAACGCTGTGGCCCGCAGTATAGATGACCTTCACTGTGGAGAAGTAAGACTTCTGGGGCAGCGCACGGGGGAGAGAGAGAATCAAGCATCAGCCCTCAGGGAAAGGGAGGCTGGGAGCCTTTGCAGCTCCGCCTGCCGAGTGAGCTGTGGCTCTGGGAATGCCGCAGGAGACTCCCTCCCTGTACGGAGCCTCTCTCCTGCCCAGCAGGAAGTGGGGGCTGGTGGGTGGAAATGCTGAACACTGGCTGCTGCAGCTCTGGGTGCCAGGGAGGACAGCAGAAACTGCCCATCCCTGGAGAATGACAGGGCCTCTGCGCTGACACACATGGGGACACAGCCTCACCACATAAAGGGAGTGAGACAGCTTTGAGCAGCAGGGAAAGGGAAGATGCTCAGGGACCAAGGGTTTGGATCAGACTCCTGCCTGGTCCCCAAAGATGCAGGCATCAAAAGCCAGCTCTTCTGTGCGGCTCAGGAGCCCCAGGGCCTTTTCATCTAAAACATGGCCACTCCCATGCTTCCAGCACTCAGGCCTGAGCAGAGGGAAATGGATGTTCTTTATAGGGCCCTGCTCCACAAAACTCTGGGATGGGGTAGATCTGTGCAAGCACACATACACACCACACACACACACCACACACAGAGATATACACACCACACACACACACCACACACACAGAGATGTACAAACTACACTCATACACACATCACACACCACACACACCAACACAGATGCACACACCAACACATACACATACCACACACACAGGTTCACACACCACACAGACACAGACACACACACACACTTACACACACTCGTCCCTCCAGGCTGAGGACTGGAGAAGGTAGGTACTTGCTTGCCCAGCAAAACAGCAATCACCATTTCCTCTGGAACCACCCAGAGCTCTCCGTGCAGGACTCCGGGCACAAAAGGAGCCATAATATTGGAGTCCACACACATCCTGGTCTGCCTTCTACCTCTCCTCTCCCTCTAAGCCCTGTGGATCAGTCTTGTACGCATCAACCAAACCCACCTTCACAGACACTCACTGCCCTCTGCCGGACACTGCTGCAACTACAAGTCCAGAGTCACAGTGGCAGTGGGAAAAGTGAAGCCCACAGGTGCATAACTCAAACTGTTGTTTGTGACGACCCAGACTGCAAGAACCAGACTGCAAGACCCCAGGACCTCTTACCTCCTCCACCAGGAGCTCCAAGGGCACCGGGCAGGCCACAGGGTAGGGTGGGAAGGGCTCCGACCAGCCTTGGACTGTACAATCCCGCTTCACTGCTCCTGGGGTGCAAGCCCACAGTCACAGCGTGCCTCCCCTCCCCCTGGGCAGGATGGGGACGCTGGGTCCAAGAGCAGTAGGTCCAGGGATCCTTTCCTACAGAAACCAGGCTCCAGGTTCCCTTCTGCAGCACCTTCTCTTATCTCCATGTGCTTCTGTTAGAGCAATCCCTAGTACAGGGCAGAGTACTCCCAGTCCTCATAGCTGGAAACTTGGTGGCACAGGCCCTGCCTCCCCCACCTTCCCAGCAAGCCTTGCCCCTGCCGATGCTCTGCCCTCTCACCCTCCCCCGGAAACTAAGGTCTTACTCTCATGGGGGGGGGGGGGGGGCGAGGTCAGGGTTGCCTGACTTGTACAGGGCTACAAAAGAAGAGGGGAGGTTGGTGTTCAAATCCAGGTCCCTCCTCCCCCAGAGTAGAAACATACCCCACCCCACCCCACCCCCGATGAAAACAACCTTTCCCCATCCAGAGTCCCTCACCTGGCTCCGAGCTGAACTGAGAGAAGAAATCTGGGCAGGGGAGCGTCACCCACTCGCCAGAGCTCGCTGTAGGCCAGCACAGCAGACCATCCCATGTCACAGGGCAGACTGAGAAGAGCACAAGAGAGATGGAAAAGCGAGCCCACCAACAGAGTGTCTGGCCCCTACTCCGAGGGATGAGGCTGGAGGAGAGGGCAGTAAGGAAAGTCCCCACCCCTCTACCCGTTAGCTCCATACTCAGGGAGGTGTTGGATGTCTCCTCTGCCTTCTGCACACAAGCATGCTCGTCTTCCCTCAGCTGGGCAATGAAGTCACATTCTGGAGGCCCATAGCCCAGTGCCTATGGGAAGATGACAGGATGAGCCAAGCCAACTGGGTTCTAAGCCCTCTCGCTTCTCAGCCCAAGAGACAGAACAGACAAAGTCCTATGTTTTCCCAAGCCCTGACCCTGGGCATAGGCCTGCTGTGTTCCATCGTGGTGGGCTTGGTGGGGCAGTGATCCTGGCAGTGGTCTCCTCTTGTGCAGCACCCTGCTCTGCGCTCCTGCTCCCTGGAAGTGGTTCTTCAGAGTAACTCCCCACCCAAGGTTGTCTGTGTACTAGTCATGGAAGCTTGTGAATGTGTAACTTTCCATGGTTAAAGTGCTTTGCAGATGTGAAGTGGGGAATCTTGAGCTGGGCCCAGGCCCTTTGTTATCTGAGTGGCACTGTGCCACCACAACGGTCCTTCTAAGAGGTCAACAGCAAGGCCAGCGCCGGAGAATGAGGTGAAGTGATGGAGGGGAGAAGAAGAGGGATGGGGATTGCACCATAGAAGCTTTGCTGCTGCCTTTGATGCTGGAGGAAGCGGCACAGGCCAAGGGGAGGGCAAGGAAGAGTATTCTCTCCTTTGGCTTATGGAAGGACACCACGCTGCCAATAACCCAGCTATTGTCTAATGAAAACAATTTTGGAATTTTGACCATAGCAAGTTCTGCTTTCAGAGGTTCTCAGGCAAGAAAATGGTAGATAGTGAGAGAGTACATGGATGAGTACATGAGCACGCGGACTAGTACATGGGGGAGCATGTGAATGGGCTGTGTGGGTGGATGGGTAGATGGAAGGATGGATGGATGGATGGATGGATGGATGGATGATGGATTGATGGGGGATGGAAGATGGATGGATTGATGGAGGATGGAGGATGGATGGATTGATGGAGGATGGATGATGGATGAGTGAGGATTCTGTATCAGGCCTTGAGGTCTGTGGAATTGGAGCCCATGTTATGAGACAATCATTGATTCTAGCACCCCAGTGACCCCTCACTACTCTAGCATTTCCCTCCCTAAAATGGAGCTCTTACTGTAGTATACACACAGAGTTGAGGAAGGGGTGTCCTCCTCTCAAGCTGGGGAGGGTAATAAAGTTACCTGCTCTGCCCCTGGATGTCAGCCCTTGACAATCAGATCCATTTACCATACAGCCCTGGTCAGTAGTGTGGTTTTATCTTTCACACACAAGAATCTAGGGGCGGGAGGGGCAATTCCTCAGGTCACACAGCTAGTTTCGAGGCTCCAGGATTCCAGGCCAAAGTTCTGGTGTCTAGGGTCAGGTACATCAAGGCACTTGGAGCAACCCCTGAAAGGCTGGGGGAGAAGCCAGAGGTAGCACATGGGGCTCCCCACCCAGGAACTTGTGGCCCCCCTCCTGCCCCCGTGGGCACTTGCAGTGGTAACTTGCGGCCCTTGCCAGCACCACTATGGTTCAAGCTATAGAGCAATAATTGGTAGCCAGAAGCTTCTCAAGTGAAGGGACTCATGGGAGGAAGAACTCCTTAAGTCTCAGAATAAGAGAGCTGGCATCCACTAACTCCTCAAGCTCAGTGAGTCCCAGAACCCTCTTCTCAGAAGCAACCTCGCTGCGGGGGCTGATTAGATGGAGTAGCCTCAGGGTAGGGAGGCTCAGACCTTCTCCAGAAGGTGGCCTAAAGGAAAAGGAGGACCTCACCTCCCAATTTCAAGGCCTGTCTTAGACTGGGTCGGGGCCCTGTGCACCCCAGGGGGCTCAAACAAGCCAGGGATATATGCTCAGTCAGCACTGGAAGAGGGAGAAGGGAGCCCCAGGCTCAGGCAAGGCTACCCCAGCCACTGCCCGGCAGCCACCTGGGATGTGTGGTGGGTGGATGGAGGAAGGAGAAAGGGAGGGAGGAAAGAAAGGAGGGAAGAAGGGAGAAATGATCTAGGGAGGGATGGAAGGGAGGATAAAGGGAAGAAAGACTAGGAGGAATGATGGGTGGATGGATGGATGGATGGATGGATGGATGGATGGATGGATGGATGGATGACGGGGAAGGAGAGGACTGGAAGAGAGGGATTGGAAGGGAAGGAAAGACTGGCAGGGATGATGGATGGATGGATGGATGAATGGATGGATGGATGGATGGATGGATGGATGGATGGATGGATGGATGGATGGATGGATGGATGGATGACAGAGGAAGGGAGGGAGAAAGGGAGGATAGATGGAAGGAGAGAAGGAGTGAGAGGGAGGGAGGGAGGAAGGGAGGATGAGAAGGATGAGGAGGAAAGGACCCCAAGCTGGGAAGGAGAATGGAGTCTCTAGTTCAGTCCCCAAGGGCCCTGTGGCTCCCAGACCCGGAGCCCAGCAACAGGGCAGGAGGGTCCAGCTGGCTACTCACGACTCCCAACTGGCTCAGCAAGCAGAGGACGCAGGTACCCCACATCCCGCTGTCCATGTTGGGACTCCACAAAGGCTCCTGCAGTCTGCTAAGTAAATCTTGCCTGGTTTTCCTCCCCCGTGGTTGCTTCCCCTTCCAGGTGGCTGCTTGCATAGGCAGAATCACCTACTGCTGAATATTCTCCAGGGTGGCAGCTCAGCTGTGCCCTGGGGCCCAGCCCTGAACAGGACTCTGTGTCCTGTCAGGGAGGGACTGGCCCAACCCAGCCCTTCCCTTCTCTTCTGGGTCCTGACATTCATTCCCAGGACACTTACTTCAGTTAATCATTGTTCCCCACCATGTTCTTCATATGACCCTCACTGGACAGCCCTTATCCTGTCTCCCTCAGGATGAAAGGGCCTCAGGAAAGAACAAGGAGGCTCTGGCTGCTGGAGGGTGAGTTCTAAGCTTGGGAGGCCCAGAAGAGCCGGGCCTATGGCAGAGAGATGAATTTTGCAAAGGAAACAGGGCCTCAAAGAGGACATAAGCTGGCCAGATATGTGTCCCCTTAGCAGGACCTGCACAGTGAGTGACCGCTGTCCGTTTCAAGGCTCCTGACTTCATATGGGGCCTGTCCGAGCCTCCAAAAGTCCTCTTGGCAAGAGGGGAAATCAAGGCAGGGAGGCAGTCTCACAAAGGGATCCACTTTGACTAGGAAAAGGTAGTGCTTCAAAAGCAGAAATTAAAAGACTTACTCAGCAATTCAAATTATTTTGAACACTGGTCATGATTGTTGTAGTCTTGGGTTTTAGACTGCAAGATCTCTAGAGACAATGCTCCAAACCAGCCTGGACCTTGCACAGAACTTCAGAATTTGAAAGTAGATTTCATTTTCTAGGGCCATAAATGCTCCAGAGGCTGACGGGCTCTAACGGCTAGAGGTAGATCTCTATCCACAACCCCCTGGCCACAAGCTGGAGACAGCAGGTATGTTTACAGCCCATGGAGGTTATGAATATGAAAGTGTCTCTGCCCACATGGCATCTGCATTAGGCAATGTCTGACATCAGCAGACCTCTATTTTTCCACCTTGATTCACACTGTCAACAAGGCACTGACAAATACTTTAAAAAGAAAATGTGTACCACTAAAGCCCCAGGCTGCCTCAGGTTCTTGTGTGGCCTTGCCTGGTACGGACAATGCAGAGCTGAACAGGAAGCAGAACTCCTCCGTGGCTGGGTGAGGAGGATACAGGCTGAGCGCAGAAAGCTGAGAAGGCGTGGATTAAAAGGGGACCTAAAATCTTCTTCCCATTGCTTCCTTGGAACAATAGCACCAGGAAGAATCTGGGATTCATCACTGCACATCATTAGCCCCACTATCATTAGTATGAGGGTGGATACTCATTGGAGCTGATGTTGGCAGTTCATAGTAGTGAACATCATCTAAATGAGAGGTTCTTCTAGGGAGCATGTTTGCCCTGACAGGAGATATTTGACAAAGCCTGGGGCAGGGAGTGAAGACAGATAGCTGCTCTTACACATCTACAATGCAAGGAAGACTCCCACCACCTTACATACAAGGAATTCTCTTGTCCAGAGGGTCAACAGGGGCCTGGCTGACAGGCCCTAGTTATACTGTGGCCGCCAAGACTCTCCCTAGGTCCCTCCATCTGGGAAACGCAGGGCCGTGGGCCCCCTTTCTCCAGCTCTTTATGCGCACGTGCAAGTGTGTGTGTGTGTGTGTGTGTGTGTGTGTGTGTGTGTGTGTGTGTGTGTGTGTGTGTGTGTGTGTGGCTCAAGTTCAGCTTTCACCAACTTTTTCCAGTTGTGCATTTGCCCAGTGACTTCTGAGTTTGTTTCCATATCTGGAACATGATCATAAAGCTAGCAGCTTTCTTAGACAGTTGATGGGATGAGTACTGGAAAGATATCTGAAGTACTTTTGTATAGGGCCTAGAAAGGTACATAAAGTACCTTGCATATGTCCTGACCCCCAGGGTACCATCCTTGATGCTGTGGTGAAACAGGAGTAGATTACCAGCTAATAAAGGTAGAACAACTGGTTCTTTGTCTTTTCTTTTCTTTTCTTTTTTTTTTTTTTTTGGTACTGGGGATTGAACCCAGGACGTTGTACTAGCTAGGCAAGCGCTTTGCCACTGAGCTACATCCCAGCCCATCTTTGTATGTAATAAATGTAATCTTTCAGTCACATGTGTAAAGTATAAATCTAAAATGTTTTAAACCCTACCTATAAAACAGTAGAATAATAATAATAAATAGTAATTCATTTTATGACCTCAGAATAAAGCAGACTTCCTTATGTAATAAAACGAAAACCATTCAGGAAATATCAATGATTGAACACATCAACATTAGATACAATGCATGCACAAGGTGTGTGCTGGTGGCTCACACCTGTCATCCTAGTTACACAGGAGGCTGAGACCTACATGATCACAATTTGAAGTCATCCCAAGCAGAAATGTCCATGAGACTCCATCTCCTAAATAACTAGAAAAAAATGTAGGCTATCAGACTAGCTCAAGTAGTAGAGCTCCAGCTACACAAGGAAGAAAGAACACATGCAACTCAAAACCAAACAAAAACAAAAACTTACCCAACTTAAAATTCATAAGACCTGCGTAAACTGTTCTCCAAAGATCATACATATATGAAAAATACTGCCAATGAATAAGTAAAATAAAAGTAACTGGAAATGAACATAGAGAATTACTATGGTAACAATTAATGGCAGCGAATCTAGCAATGAATGCAAAAGCTGAAGAAAAGCAGGCTATTTGTTTCCAAGTATCTCCCCCCATACTTTAAACACAGAGGGGAAATAGTGGGATTTCAGTGAGGAAGCATCAGACATTCAAAGTTACCACCAGTCATGTTAGTGATATATGATTAATGAGAAGTCATATTAATGACGAAGTAAAATGAGAAAATGGTGTTGGTTCTTCCCAAGCCATCACATAAGCCACATGGAGGATGGTGGACAAAACACCAGGCTGTCACAGACTGGGGAGCCCATGGAGATGGGAATGGATCTCAGGACAGAAAAGAGACATAGTTTATTTATAGACTCATGCTAATACTGATTCCTTGCTTTTGATTCATGTTGTGTGATTGTGCAAGATTTACCATTAAAACACACAGGAACACTGTGTGCTGCCTTTGCAGTTGTTATGTAAGTCTGAAGACTGCTCAAACAGGAACGACTTAGTTAAATGAGAGACAACACTTCTGAATGTCACTTCTCAGAAGGGACCCATACCAGACTTTACAACTTAGTGCAAGGGAGGAAAATCTCTGCTTTTAAGAGAATGGACCCAAAAAAGCACATTTAAAAGTATTCAACATCATCGGCCATTTCAGAAATATAGATTTCACCATGAGGTGTCTCTGCACACTCAGGAAAGGCTAAGATTACAAAACCATGGATACAAACGTCAAAAATTTGGAACATCTAAAATTCTAGAATACAGAATAACACAGCTTCTCTGGAAAGTGGTTAGGACTCTCTAGAAAACAGTTTAACTATTGAAAAGAAAGTCTCATTCACTCACACACACACACACATACACACACACATACTCACACACACACATACACACAACTTATATAACCAGTCATCTTCCTCTAAGTTCAGATTTATCCAAGTGAAACAAAGCTCATCACATAGAGATTGTATGCAAATGCACATAAAAGGTTTATTTGTAACAGCCTAAACCTCAAGATACTTGAAATACTGTACCCATCTCTGGTGCATGGATTAACAAATCAAAGTATCTATGTTACCATAGGAATGTTATTTAGTAATAAAAAGGAACGCACCTCTCACACACAGAACCACAGGGGTGAAAACCCCAAAGCATTTCCCTAAGTGGAAGAAGTCAGACTAAATGTGATTTCTGCCACATGAAATTCTAGAAGTTTAAAAATAGCAACAAAAAGAAGCTGAGAGGCAGCCAGAAACCTAGCAGAGAGGATTATGTATGGATTAAAAGGCAAGGAATGACTGCACAGCAGTGGTAATCTCTGTTACTCAATTACATACATTCGTTAAACTTCATCAAACTGCCGTCATGGTGGGCCATTTCTTCATACATAAATTGTTGGTCAATAAACCAAATGGAAATATATAGATTTTCCAGTAGAAAAAAGAAAGTTGCACAATGCATGTATGTAGAAAGTTTAATTTACTTTTGCAAAAAAACTGTATATATACCAAAGTTTTCTTTTTAATGTCTGCAGATGGTGAAATCACAAAAATAAAGAAGATGAAAAAAAAATAAAAATAAAAAAATAATAAAGAAGATGAAGGGGATGTGGGTAATGACCAAATAGAGCATTCTCTAATTCCAATATTGTAGTTTTTGAGACAACATTATGTCCTATGGGTACGATTAGATGTCAATTTAAATTATGGTGGGATGTGCATGGGTTTTCTTTGTGGGAGAGGTGAGTGTGGGAGATGAGCATCCGCCTGTCCATCTGTCCATCTGGTCACCCAGCCCACCAGCAGGTGCAGCCTTTGATAGCTGGCCAGGGGAGGTCTCTGAGGGCCCCTGGCGGTGGACCTGGGCAATTGCAGCAGTTCCAGCTGCAGATGGGGAAAGACCAGAGCTGGGTCCCTGCTGGGGGCTGGGGTTGGAGGCTGTACATGGCCCTGGAGGTCAGCTCTCTCAGGATTTGGCCCAGGACTTCCTTGCTGAAGCAGCTGCAGCTGAGGGAGCTTAGAGTCCCTGAATCCTGAATCCCTGTTTGAGCTGCAGCTCCCTGCCTGTTTCCCCAGGCCTCCCCTTCTGGGGTGGGGTGGGGGGGGGTGGGGGGAGGAGAGTCAGAAGGGACCCTGCAGACCTCACTCCATAGGGCTTTGTGGAGACCTGCCCTTCATAGCCGCACTGACCAGGGGCTCATTGGGGATGTCTGTGGTTCTAGAGCTGAGGGTCAGACATGGTGCTAGGACCCTGCTGTGTTGGCCCTCAACACTCAGAGATGGGAGCTGTAGCAGGTCACTGTGCGTGCCATGCAGGATCGGGTCAACGCTGTTGTCATGAGACTAGGTTT